CAGAAGCTGAATGGTTCGAGCAGCCTGGCCGCGGGGATTCAAATTCAACTTCCCAACCAAAACTCTCGACGGCTCTGAGACGGCAAATCGAAACATCTGGTGCCAACATTTGCCCCAAAACCCCGCCAGGCCCGAGTACATGACCGAGGTCGATAGTCGCTGCCAGTAATCCGGATACATCCATGGTTCCAGAAGAGGCGCCTTCGTGATCTTTGTTACATCGAAAAGGGCTGGAAGGATAGTGGCGAAGAACAGTGGGCTAAGGCTGAAAATAAACTGCAACGCAAACACCACCGCGAACAGGGTAGTCCAACTTCTGACCCAGCGTGTTGCAATAGGAATAACATCATTGACCCGAGCAAGCCACGGCCAGGGTGACGGCGAATCGAGTGGCACCAGGCCCATAAAATACGGGTCTGTGATCATGACCGTCTTCAGAAAATCGACAATGAGATAGGTTGTGACGAAACCTCGTAACGCCCTCCATTGCAAGGACCGGCTTTTGTCATTGCTAACTCTAATGGTGGACACCACTGCAGATGTGTCGTGCGGTGTGGAAGGATCAATAGGCCCTACTGTTGGGATGCGATGTTGCCAGCCCACGGCTCGAAAACTCGTTATCAAGTCGACCGTCCAGTCAGTGACATGGAACCAGTCCGAATTGTAAGGGAATCCCGTCCATACCAGCTCGTATGATTGTGGGGGAAGCTTCTCAGGGGATATCCGGTTCGTCTCGGAGGATGGATGCACATTGGCCATCCTCCGGTTCGTCATGTCAACACCCTGAGTTCGGTCGGTCGACGAAGATAATGCTGTGGACCCTTTCCGGTCGGAATCTGCAATTTCTGCCTTGAACGCTCGCAGTTCCAGCCGTCTGAAATCTCGCGCCACGTTGTTGCACAAGAGAAGAGCTCCAGCCATGATAATGCCCCAGGCAGTCAATAATCCAATCCCATAGCCCGCACCAATCCAGAGTGTGCGGCGATGATACACCGTGTAGGTTCCCTGAGAGAGAATTACAACGAAAGTGATGTATCGGACAGCTTTGGCCAGCTTGGGAGGAAGTCTGGGGGTGGATGAAATAGCAAGGAACAGATATAAGGCTGGTAGTGAATCCCATGGACAGAGAAAGGGAGTGTACCCGCCTGTCGATATTGCCGCCTCGTATAGGCGTTGACGTCTGGCGAGAGTTTGGCGATACAACGAAACATATTCGTCGGCCATGGCTGACTAGGTCAAAGACATTTCAGGGGGGGATAATCGTATGGAAAAGATATTAATACTTGCTCAGACTGACAGAAGTCAATTCGGCGTTTTGAAGTCGTGACGTCTTGAGGAGGGAGAGGATCTAACCGTCCGAGATGAGCTCCACAGCTCAACTGAATATGGCAACAGCCTGGTCAACAACTATTATATTTCGTTCGAACTTCAGCGGGAACAATACATTTCCACTTATGAATAACCGTCAAAGAGGCTCTGAGAGTGCCGACGGTGGAAGTGGCAGAGGCTTGACAAGGCGTCACTCTGCGCTGCACTTGAAGAAATACTCGCTTGGAGGTTGAATGGGATCTTTGGGTAAAAAAAAGGGTCTCCATGCCTTGGACTTGTAGAACTTAAACTCTCAGTTAATATATCAAGTACAGCTGGTGGAGTTACCTGTAAAGAGATATCATTCGATTATTGCGCCGTTGACGGTTTTTCCATCAGTCCACATGGTCCGAATCGGGTTTGGACACAAACTCGACTAGCCACCATTTCAGCCACTTTTCCAACCTCCGCGACTTTCCTCGAGACCGAACCATGCCTCATGCCCTCTTTCTATCTGTCGGTCTACACTGTCCTTGGTAGTCAACTGTAAGTGCGGAGTATTACGAGGGTTATAGTCCGTCCCGTCCCCGCCATGGATCTGATCAAAGGCCTACCACCGTCATGCTACTATGTTCCCAGTTTCATTACTCCGTCCGAGGAGGAGCAGATCCTGAACGCCATCCGCAGGCTCCCCGAGTCACGGTGGACTGTCCTAACCCATCGGCGTCTGTTGTCCTTACCCTCCACCTTGACCGGTTCTGCCCGTGATACTCTTCTTGCTGCCCCCATGCCAGCTTTCCTCGATACGATCGTCACCCGTCTCCAACAAGACCAATATTTTGAGACTTCCACACACAAGGCCCCAAACCACGTCCTGATCAACGAATACAAGCCAGGAGAAGGAATCATGCCTCATGAAGATGGACCTGCATACGACCCTATCACTGCGACAGTGAGCCTAGGCAGTCATACTGTACTCGAGATCTACAAGAAGAATGAAGACGGCGAACGAGAAGTCAAGCCCACATGGCGAATCTTGCAGGAACCTCGCAGTCTGCTAGTGACCACGGGCGAAATGTACGTCACCACACTGCACGGGATTTCAGAGATCCAGACGGACGAGGATCTGAACACCACACAGATCATCAATTGGCATCTTCTCGGAGACCAACGACCGTATCACACCGGACAAGCTCAGCGGCAAACGCGTATCAGTCTCACCTTACGGGACGTGATCAAGGTTGCCAAATTAGGGGGCGCTTTGAAGTTCATGAACAAAAGGCCATAACATCGGCTCTCCTATTTCTGGCTTTTTGACAGAATCTCTCCCCGTGGTGCTGGCATCATGGCTCCTTCGGCAGGCTGGTGTTTGCTTTTGAAATCATCCACCATCTCCGCCATCGTCACCCATTCAACACCTTCATGCCTGTTGATGTGTTCGATCAGTCTTTCATGCATGAGCAAGACATGCGGTCTACCCGATACATCGGGATGGATTGTCATGGGGAAATAAAATCCCTCTTTCTCCTCTCTGTAAAAATAGTCGAAATGATCCTGCCAACAGCTCAGAATTGCGGAGATGGACAGAAAGATGGTAACTACTTACCCGCCACAAATCTTCAACGTCCCTCGGGTTAACCCATCCATGGCTATTTGGCACCTTCTTCTGCACATGACTGTCAGCCTCTCTGAAGTGGACGTGGCCAGGAGCAATTCCTCCATCGATTCCGCCAGGCAGTTAAATCGACCAAAACTTACCATGAACATCATCGGCGGCAGATCATCCAGGTACCAGTTTGCTGGGATCTCCACAAGCCCAGTCTCCTGGCCCTTCGTGAAGGGTTTCATCCACTCTGCAGCTGTTTTGGTGTAATCGATCTTTGTCCAGTTGTCCCCAGTCCGGAGGTAGTATGCTTGACAGTCATGGTGACTCATGCTGTGATCATACTCAATGCCATAGTGGAGCAGTAATTCTGTCGCTTCTCTGCTGACTTCCCACCAGGGAGCGACGATTCCCCTAGGCGTCTTTCCATGACAGAAATCTGTGAGCATTCGGTAGGTATAGTCAAGGACATCACGTTGCTGTTCGAACGACATATCAACCGGATTCTCATGGCTGTATCCATGCAACCCTATCTCGTGCCCAGCATCCCGGATCATAGCACATTCTTCCGGAAACGTTCTGTTTGATCGACGAAGTCAGCTCAGCATGGAGTCGAAAGCTGCCTATCTCAGCACCGCCTCCCTGTTGATCGATATTCACGCTCGCAGCTGGGGTTTTAAAGTGGCAAACACTTACTCTAAGCTGTGGCCAGGAATGAACCAAGACGCCTTAATGTTGTATTTCTCAAACAGCTTCAGCAGCCTTTTCACACCTTCCGTACCGGCGAAATAGCCTACTCGGACGCGAGATGGCAATGTCTTATCAGCTCATTGCAATAGACTGTGTCTGGCATCATTCACCGGCAGCGGATTCGATGTCATGTGAGCTAACAATGCCTGGTCTCTACATACCTCGAGAGATGTCGCTGGTCGAGTCTTCGCCCTTGTATGAGCCCAACCATCCTGCTATTGCGTCTATGTCGACACCGTAGGACACCAGGACTCGTCTCTTTGGCTTCGATGTGTTCTCAGACATTATGTCGATTGATCACAGATATTTCCTGACTGCGATGGCAACCTTACTGCCACTCAAGTCTATTCAAGCAATGCTCAACAAAACCAGCTCGCCTGCAGAGAGAGAAACCGAGTGAACGGGTACAATACCGATCTCGCCCATATTCTACTCCCCTATCTGGAGATGTCCGCCTGATCCTTCTGGATGACGTCTAGTGAATATCCGAACATCTCCTACATGATATCCACTACCATGTCTGGGAGGATCCATGTCAATGATGCGGAGAGGACACATCCACTGTCACTGGGGTAAATGAACTCCACCCCATTCTTATCTCTTTGCTGGGATCAACCAATCATGGTTCGCGGCTTATAACCTAGCCAGGGGGTTTACAGCAGTCGGCATTCGCCTCGTTCAGCCATGCCCTTCAGGTACCGTCCTCTCCTTCATTCGTGCTATGCTTGTGGTTGGTGCAAGCCTCGAGGCGGGTCTCGCAAGGGATCGGGTCGTTCACCATAGTACAGGCCTCGGCGACATTGAGAACATGGGCATCGCATTGTCGGAGGAGGTATCTGGATATTGACTCGACAGCCTTGCCTCGAAGTGTCCCGTTGCGTTTAGCTGCTCGAGTTCCGATACCAGTTAATCCCGAACTCCAGAAGTCAGCCGAATCGTCACTCATCCCAAGATCAACTCAATCTTCGAACACGGACTGCGCACAGACGCCCAAGAAGGAAGAGAACGTTCTCAGCCTCAGGGACATGTATCTAGTGGATTGCAGGTTGCGTGCGGCCGCGCATAGCCCACAACTCCGTTTTCTCCACACATCATCAACGGTAAGTCTCCTCCCTTGACACTTGAAATTGGATGTAGATGCCCATCTTGGATCTCCAGATCTGCTCGCAACACGTCAATCAATGTACAACATATACTAGAACTTAGACCACCTAGAGACCTCACTACCCCGTCGATCTTGCCGTGCGAGGATTTGTGTGCAAGATCTGACACTAGGTGCCACTGTATGTCCAATACAGCTCTGTCCTCGATCCGGCAGGCACAATCGACGGCCTCAGAGCTAATGGATGAATCCAACGGCGTAACCAATGAAACCCTCAATGTCTTCCTCCGCATAGTCGTCCTGCCATTCTCCGATCTCAATGGTAAACCCTCCCACCCAAGTATTTTCTGCACCATCTCCTTTCCGAGCATCGATACCGGCGTCCGAAGGAAGCAATCTAACGGTCAAGAACCTTGGGTAAGCTCCCTGTCGATCCCACGAATCTAACCTTGTGAAAGCCACCTCTAAACATTCCAACGTTCTCGACGATTTCGTCAATTCTGAATCCTTCATCAACAGCGCATACAAATTCGCAACGGTCTGGCACAGCTTATCCTCCTTCAATGGCGGAGGGCGCGTTCCTGACGACCCATCGTCTTGAAAGACTGATTTGGTGACGGGAACCTCGATCCAGAGTCTCATTGTCCGCAGTGCTGGAAGAGAGCGGACCAGGGTTGATAACGCAGCAGTGGTCGGAGAGGGTGATGTGAATGGCATGAGCATATGGTCACCCGCAGTCGTATCAAACGGGGAAAGATCCATTTCCAGACGCGTGAGCAATCTCAAGTGAGTTGCCATGAGATGAATTTGGTCGGGGTTCAGATATAAAAGCCCATTTGGTCGCCTCGACGTGAAGACTGGGATACTGTGCAGTTTCAACTTCTGTAATGTTGACGCGTGGTTCTCGACTATGGCCGGGACGAGCAAGGGGAGTTCTCCCTGATAGTCCGTCGCATAGATCAATCCGAGATTTGAAAGGGATCCAATCACAGATATCGCAAGGTCGGTCTTTCGTTTCATCCACTCCGCCTTGGCTGGGCCTTCGTTGGCAGGAGAATATGGCACGAGAAGTTGCAGACGAAGGAATCTTGTGTCCATGTGGGAGGAGTACACTATGCTGCCGAAGTCGTTTCTGTCGATGTGAGTCTGCGAAAGTGGGAATGAAGTGAAAAAGCCGAAGTCGAATTCTGGGAGATTGATTGCGTCGTCGGACATTTGACGTTTGAGGACTCGAAGATGGACGTCGCGCCATGATTCTCTGAGACGAGTGAGGATATTCGGTGGGATTGGCATGTTAATGCACCACCTATCGGGAGCGTCAGCGTCAGAGGCTTCGGCAGTGTTCGTGGGCTCCGGATGTCCTCACGAGAAGGTTCGAAGATTCTTCACGCTCTTGAGCATTTCCTCGAGTGCCGCAGAATTCAGTACATTGGGCAGGATCTCGACGACACCGTTCTCGTCGGGCTGGGTTTGGTGGTCATATTCTCGCTTCGCGCATGTTCCTATAACGATCTCCTCTACGCGCTGGGCGAGATCGCTGTCCGGGTTCAAAAGTTGCTGAACCATTTGTCGAAGATCTTCATTCTCGGTCTGTTCTTCCTCGCCGTCGGGAACATACTCATCCTGCTGGAGCAAGGCTGTTAGTTCTCCGTCGGGCGAAATGATTCTGTCGTCCATGGCTGGGAGCGTAAAATGGAAGTGGCCTTGTGTCTTAAGGAAAGCAGGTAAGCTGAGGTCGAAGAGAAACCTCAAAGTCTCTCAGATTCGAGAACAGCAAACGTCTTGATAAGGACAGAACCGGGGACATCAAAGAGAATATCTCACCAGGACGAGTCTCACCGCATCTTTCAAGAAGAAAGCAATGTTGCTAGGTAATGAACCCAGACTTCCACCAAGATTGCGCGACTGAACGGGCCGTCCTAGTTTCCAGCTTTGCACTTTCAGCGCTATGGTTGATGGGCGAGTAGATGCTTGTTCAATGTGTTGCTATTAATGCCTCGACGACGAAAGCGGTAGTCCGTTTGGGCGGCTCAGTAAGCGCTTAGTCTCCACCGGCTGGCGGATAGGCCCTTTTCAGTCTGTTGATCCATGTGGTCGAGACGGCCCATGCTCTGTTTCGAAGTGTTGCCCTATGCCAGAGTACATGGACAAGCAGACTCTGAGAAGCTCTGTATGGACAGGGTATGTATGTTTATGGCGACTCGATCCACGCTCCACATGGGGGGCTTCAGCCTTGCGGGCCCGTCTTTGCCTCGCGCCAATTATTACCCACAGTTTGAGGGCTACAAGACACACGCACACATAAGCCATAAATATTTACCCATCCCGCTCTTCGGCACCGGACAGTCATGCAGTAATACCCCATACGAACTTGCACAGGCCTCGGTCATCGGTGTATGCTGCTTCGTGAAGTGTCCCGGAAACAAATGCCGACCGAGGAAGACACCCGAGGGGAGGGAGCTCAGACCACCAACTACCAGCTACCAGCTACCTAGCTGAGGGTTGTCACATCCCCCAACTTTGTGCACCAGGCTTGAATTTAGCTGTCACAGCAAGCCATTAAGCCATTAAGCCATTGAGCCCACCAGCCATCACATCGCCGCTGAGAGTCGAATCCGGGGGGCCAGGCCTTGATCATTGCTCCACGGCGTTTTGGTTGGTGCCACAGGCCCCTTCTCCCTCCCCTCCTCTTCCTAACCTTCTCGTGTTTCCTCCCCGTCTTTTTCTTATTGCCGACGCCCCAAAGTGTAGGCTTGACGCGATTATTTCATCAAGCCCTCTGCCCACAGCAGCCACCCAGACGGGCATGGCGCTTCGGACATTGCTGCCTCAATCATGCACGAACCAAATTGCCAGCGTGTCGGTTCTGTCGCTCTGTCGTCTAGCACCCTGTCAAGCCCTCTCAAGCCCTATCAAATCCTTCGACGCCATCGATCCACCCCCCTTCCGCCCCGCCTGTGAAATCCTTCCGACGATCGCAACCGACTTCCTACAACTGACTACCTATTACCGAGTACTCCAGATGGGACTTGTGGGGGCATGTGCCAGCACTCGTCGACCCAGCACCCGCCAGCTGCCCGGCTCTGTCACTCCTTGCTCCTTGGGTGTTTTCTCCGGGTCGACCGGTCGGAAAGGTCCTTTGATCTCATCAGCTGAGCCGACTTCGACCACCGAAGCCATGCTTTTTACTCTTACACTCGTCCTCTCCCCTCGATTGTCCCAGCCGCGTCACTGATTTGCGACCCCTTGAACTACGCAAATACATAACGAAGCTGCCAGGTTGAAAACAACAGCGCCGTGGCGCGCGCCGGACAGGCCAATGTCTGTGGTCTCGCGCTTCCCTGACCACCTCGTACTCCCGACTTCGCCAATAGCCGACTGAGCGGACTCGATGGCTTAAGCCGCGTTCTCGACAATGTCGAAAAGATCATGTCCGAATACAACCAAACTTTCTCCGCCGATCAGCTACGAGCTATCGACATCGCCGCCCGGGTATCATCATGTCTGTCCTTATCAGGGTCGTCGTTCACAATAATCAGCTTCCTTAGTTACCCCCCGCTCCGGAAACCTGTTAACCGTCTTGCTTTTTCCATCGCCGTCGCCAATGTCTTTGCATGTTCGGCGTATAGTTGGGGCATTCATCCTATCAAGGCTGGGAGGGATTCTGCATGGTGTCAGACGCAGGGATTTTTCATCAATTGGTTTGTCATGACGGATCCACTACTTGTACGCTTGTCCCACGGCTCCGGACAAAGAGGAGCTTGCCACTCGGTCTAACACTTTTGCTCAGGTTGTGATTATGGCGTTCAATGTCCTTCTCACCGTTCGCACGAAACGAAACGCTACCGAGTTGAAAAGGGTCGACGTGTATGCGATCTTGGCGGCTTTTGTTCTACCGTTCATCCCGGCTTTGGTGTTTTTGTGTTGGAGGCCTGATGGGAAGACTGTCTATGGTCCGGCAACAATGTGGTGCTGGATCGCTAAAGAATCACAGATTCTGCGTCTGGTGGCATTTTATGTGCCGATTTGGTGAGTTCAAGGCGAAGGCGAGGCACAGGGGATCTCTGATGATAATTTTTTTTTCCTGACCACCCTGGCTAGGTGCTTTATTTTGGTGGCCATATTTCTCTTCGCTCTGAGCGGCAAACAAATCCTCCTCGTGCGCCGGAAGGTCAAATCCGCCAAAGCCGAATGTGCTCTGCACAGGGATGAGCCTAGTCTGGATGGCAACACACCTCAACGAGATCGCCGCTTTTCGGCCTTTGCCAGAGCTTTCATGTCGGCGGCCACGGTGACGAGGGAGTCGGGCAGATCCAACGTGACCACCGCCAACAGTGAGCCAGAGCCGGAGTTGACATCGCCCGAATTCAAGGGATCCGAACCACTCGCGCCCATCCACTCGCGCGGAGTCCTAGACCTAGAGTCTCAGAACCTATCGCACGAGTCGTTGATATTCGCCGCACCTGGCTCTCCTACCGTCACCCTTGACCGAGCCGGCTCCGACCAGACAATGCTACGAGGCCCAGCAGACCAATTCCTCCCGCGAAGGTCATCCTCGCGGTTTGACAGGATCCATTGGAAATACGCCAAATTCGCGTTCTTGTGTACCATTGTCTTGTTCATTACCTGGGTAAGTTTCAATACACCGGTCGCCGTTCCCACATTTTGTGACTCTTGAATGTCCCCCCCACCCAAAAAACAACGGTACTAATGTGAACGTACGCGAAAATTTACAGGTCCCGATAAGCGTGAATAGGGTGTACAACAACTTCATCTCCCCAAACAACCAAATCTACGGCCTGTACCTGACCTCGGCGGCGTGCATCCCTTTGCATGGTTTTGGGAATTTTGTCATCTACACCACCACCAGTTGGGCCGAGTGCAAGGACTTTTTGACCTGTTCGGGCCGGAGGAGTTCGAGGAGGTCGTCGTCCGTCGTCGTCGTCACCGCTGTCACAGCAGCGGCGGCGGCGGTAGCACAGACGCGGGATGATAATAGGAGGGTCAGATGTAAGCGGAAGCTGAACGGCTGGGCGGAAAGGGGAAGGAAAATGTGGAAGAGGAATGAAAGAGAGAGGGGGGGTTCAGTGGCTACCCAACCCAACTAACTAACTGAACAAATAACAGGCCAGGGACGATACACGTCCCAGACGGTACAGGTGGGTGAAGAGAAATAAATAAAATAGCGCAAAGAGAATAAGCAGCCAAGGGGGGGGTTATTGCGGGTTATCATCGATGAGACTGAGTCCCAAGATGCAACGCAGGGGATGAGATGCAATATTACAATGCGACGGAGCAGGGCTGTACATAACACACCATGATGTGAAGGGAAGGGGAAGGCGACAGGGACGATAATCCCATCCCCCCTTCCAAACCAGGCTCACGATGACCACAACAACAATAGATGTCCCCTTGAATTCCTGCGTACGCAATGGCCCAACGCCGTTAGACGCAATATAGATAGGCACTTACTTGTCTGCAGACGAGTGTGTATAATGTATGCACATTTATTGATGTCTGCGTATGGAATCATCTCGGATCGCGGATCGTATGCGTGTGCCTAACCACATAACTATAATTACGCCCCTATGTTGATGGTCTCGTGGGTGTGAGCCGTCATAGTCAGAGGAAGGGAAGAGGGAGGAAACCTTTGTACGTCTGAGGCTCAGAAATAAAATAGAAACGGTGAACAAAAGGCACAATAAAAAGAGCGTGTACTCGGTAGAGCGATCAAAGTCTTTGCTCTGGTGTTCTGGAAACGCTACGTACGTGCTTTTCAGAATCCAGATCACGTCCTCTATCATCGTCCCTATTTTTTTTGTCGTTTTTGTTTATTTTGAGGGGGGGGGGGGACACTGGCACACGACCCAGGCTACCCATTAGTCTGGCCGCGACGTAAATGATGACAACAACGTCCCTCAAGCCGCATGCTCACTATCCCGACGCTGATCGTGATGATGATGCTTCTTCGCATGCAGTTCCTCCACCGGCGCTTCAACTATATAGTTCATCGTCTTGCGTAAATCACCCAAGAATAAGCACGCAATGCACGCCAACGCCCCAAAAGGCGCGGCAATAATGTAAACTACACGGATAGAATCCGCGAGCGCCTGCTTTAGCCCTGCAACCCCAGCGGCGATGATAGCGGGTGTCACACCCGGGATGCTGCTCAGAGCGTCCGTATTGCCCGCCGCCAGGGCCTCGACGAAACTCGGGATCGAACTGGCGGGAAGACCGGCTTTAGCGACGGCGCCACCTACACCGTTGGGGATGTTGGTAGTAAGTCGAGTGTTGAGTGCTGCAGCGTATATGGCCGTGAATACCGTGGCTGCAACGGCTCGAGACGAGGTCGTCACGGCTGTTGCTGTTGCTATCAAGCTGTGTGGCGTGGAGAGTTGCACGCCGGCAATGATCAGGATGAGTGGTGCACCAAAACCGAAACCCGCGAGACCACTCATCACGCAGGTGGTGGTGCTGTCATTAGGCTGAATCGTAGTCCAACCGATGATCGCGCCGGTGAAGATCAGGTAACCCAGGAACAGCGGTTCGCGGATTGTGCGGAATCGGGTGCTTGTATAGCCCCAGATCACAGTGGAAATGCCGCCGGCAACCCAAAATGGCATTTCTCGAGACACGAGTAGTAATGGATCTGTTTCGAAGAGTGAAGATGTTCTGAAAGCATGGGGTCAGTGCCTAAGTTTGCCGGAGGCTTGGTAGGGAGGGATGTAAGGTGAGACTCACAAGACAGGGTAGAAAACAATGTAGGAGAACAGCATGATGCCTTCGATGAAGATCAAGCCCACGCAGATAGCAAATGTGCGACCTGCTGCCTTGCCGCCACGGAAGAGAACATGGTTCATGATTCCGGTCTTGGTGCCCTTCCACTCATAGATGCCGAAGGCGATGAGGATCACGATTCCAACGATCAGAGTCGCCAACGTCCGCGAGTTGGTCCAAGCGTACAAGTTACCTCCCAGGTTCAGACCAGTCAGGAACAGGGACAAGCCAATAGTGAGAAGACAACAGCCGGGGATATCGATGTGGCCTAATTTCTGCCAGAAGGATAGATGGTCAAGCCGGGTGTGCCTCTTGGGTGGTCTATACCCCACAAAGATGCCTGCAGCGGTCGCCCCCCATAGAGCGAGTTGGATCCACTGTCACTGATCAGCAATTCATTCTCTGCGTCACAAATTTTGAGTCCCGGTGACGTACGTAGAACTTGCGCCAGCCGTCCTCTGCATTGCGTTTTGTCAGGGCACCAATAGACATGGGCCCGAGAATGGCACCCAAGGCCGCGGCAACGTTCATGCATGCTTGAGCCACTACAAACAGAGGTCAGTTGGCTCGCTTAGGACTGGTCATTACACTTACTCGGCCTCCATTTTCTCGGCAGGATCTCACTAGGAACGCAATACGCAAGGGGCACTGCTGCAAAGCCAAAGCCGATCAGTGTTTGGGCCACGATGAGTCGGTAGATGTTGCCTGAACCGGGGGCGATGGCGGATCCGATGAGAGAGATGAGGCATGAGCCAACAAGGATGCTCTTTCGAGCTTGGAAAGTATCTGAGGTGAGAGAAATGACAGGTCCCAGGACTGCTTGTACAAGTGAAAGAGAATTGGGCACCCAAGTCTGGGTTTTGGGATTGTTGAGGCTATCGCCAATGAAGTCGAGCTATTGTCTCAGAGTATCAGAACCAGTGTTATAAGCATCTAGCACGGGGGTTGAAGACTCACAACAGCCGGAGGGCCCTGGAGAGCCACGACTTGAACCATGTTCAACAGAAACATGGAAAACAGCGCAATGTAGGTCCTCGCATGAAGCTCTGGTTCTTCGTCCACTTCGTCGTAATGCAGATTTTGATCATTGATGTCGACATCCTCGATCTGCTTCTCACTCGACAGGTCTCTCTTCTCGTCGACCGAGACCAGCTCTGGTCCATTAGGCTGGGCCTTTCCTACACCGCCCTCGGAAACAGCGTGAGAAGTCATCTCTGTGTCAAAGTCGACCTTGCACTCTCTGGGAGCCTGGTAAATAGTGTACTCGATATTGTAAGCGACGACAATCGCATCAGCCGACAGGAAGGGACGAGTAGCGACTTTGTAGTTGCAAAGCGACCACTAGACCGACATTACCGCGTACCAAATGCAGTCCATCAACGCTGGCCATGATAGGTTCGGGATATCCGCTTTTGTGGTGCGGGGAGCAGGGGATGAAAGTGGACTTGTGCGGACTTGTGTGGACCAGTGTTGACTTGTGGTGGGAAGTATGGGGCAACAAGGAGCGACAGAGCGCATTGCTGAGGGTTTTGTGGGACGTTGAGGCGAAAAGAATTCCAAGCAGACTGCGTGTGTGAACTGCAACCAGCCCAACTTGGCAGACAAGGCCATTTTGCCTGCGCTCTCCCTGACCCTCCCTGCGCAGCCTGTGTCCTCCTGCGTCCTCCTGCGTCCTCCTGCGTCCCTCTGATCTGCCACCCCTGGTAGAGGTACCACAGTGCTGTGTTGGCGTGGTTATCATTGAAGAACTAGACACGAAGGCAAGAGCCTGTCCACGGACAATCGTTGACTCCAGCAATCAAGGCCCCGTCAAGGCGCGGACGGCAATCCCTCCGACTGTCCATCTCACTAAGCGACCGCCACAGCCAAACTTCCTGGGGCCCAGACCCTCACTGGAGTCCTCCAATACAAGGACAACTTTCTTATCTTCCCACTGCCCACAGATTCTCTCTCATCACTCTTGGCTCTCCCTCTCCCACAATTCCGAGAATGCGGGGGATATCCGCCCTCGCCGCCATTTCAACTTTCGAGTACAGCACAGGGTACTTGTACATAATTCACTAACCCCACAAATTGCTCCCTTCCTCCATTTGCCCCTGGTGCCCCCAGGCCAAGGCCAATGACACCAGCGCCCACGTTGTTGCGGGGATGTATCGGTCCTGATTCCTGAAGCGAGAAAGAAACTCTGGGGTTGAATGGTGCAGTGGGTTAGGATCCGAATGAACATCCCCCAAAGAGTTCTCACAGGCTCAAGACTAATATCAGGTCCAGGTTCGCCGAAATGCACCATTTCGGTTCCGAACTGCTTGCCTCTGGAAGGTCCTCCGAAGTTACTCTGAGCAAGTCGAGAACAAGCACAAGAAGAGGAGGGAACTTTCCCACACTAACTTGCATCCTCCCAAAATCAGGTCGATTGCACCTTGCATGATCTACCGGGAAATCCGCGTGCCAGACATGGCCCCCATGTAAATCCTTCAGATGCCTCCACCTAGCTATGTTACACGAAAGCGAGATTTGGTTCACAACATATCATCCACCCCTTTCTTGACCGCATGCACAGCTGTCCGCCTTAAAAAAATGCCATGCCCTGGGCGTTCTTGTCGACACCCATCCCATCCAGTGTGAAATGCTGAACCTGCTTGGCCGACCCCGGACCTCCAGAGACATCCAACACCGTCACGGCTGCAGGGGTGGTCCCGTTGCCCGGAGACAGAGCATAGATGAAGTTGCCGGCGGCTTTCAAGTCGATGAGTCCAGGGTCTCCATTGGCTGACAAGTCCAGAATAGAAACAATGCTGGCGTCTGTCAAGCTCATTTCCACCACCCGATTCACGCCTACGTCGGTGACGAATGCAGAGCCAGTCGCGGGAGAGATGGTGACCCAGCATGTCGCGCTTTGACCCCCCACTTCCTGCTTCGCTACAGTGGACGCCATGTTACTCGTTGGATCCACCGAGACAACAGCACCGCCAAAAGATGCGTCTGTCACAAAGACATCGGACGTGCCAGGGATAGGTTGCGAGCCAAATAGGACAGCCGTTCCTGCCGGTGAGCTGCGAATATCCGTCATTGAAAGACTCGAACGCATGTGCCAATTTCCTCCTTCGACGGGGAAAACCGAGAAGAATCCCGTGTTGTTGACTGTAGGATCGCCCTTGACCGTCGCGAACAGGAGAGACTCGTCCTCCGAGAAGAATAGTTGTGAGACTGTGTTCGTTGGACCAACCGGAGGAGTTGTTTGGACAAGGTCAAAGGAGCGCAGGCCGTCCATCGCACCGAGGCCTTTCTTTGAGAAAGACGAGCAGGAGACGCCATTGGTGACCCCAGTGGTGCCGACGCAGACGAGTCGATTGCTGGCTGACGCGGCTACAGTGTTGGGGAATTGACCTGGGAGGCTGACAGGAGCACCGACCACTGTGAGCTTCGTTGGGTCCTGCGGGTCGATCGACAGCATCGACAAGGTGTTACTCCCGGCATTGACGGCGAAGATATTCTGCTCTGGCGGTCAGTAATTCTTCCATTTATCATTGATTTCCGAGACGGCCAAGTCTTCCTTACATTTCCAGCAACTGTCAAAGCAGACTGCGAGATCAAAGCATCAGGAGCCGCAGGCTCGTTCGTAGCGCCACTGATGCTGTTTGACCCATCGCCTCCAGTTGGGGTCAGAGTGCCTTCAGATAACATGCCATTGGCAGCTACAGGGACTGCAGCCACAGAGTTGCTGGCGTCGTTGGTGATGAAGTATATCGCCCGAGCACCTTTTGAGTGGGAAACTCCTTTTCCCCACTTGCCAGCGTGTGGCGCTGGCACAGCTTGGACAAAGGCAACGGATGTCGTGAAAAGCAGGAATGCTTGAAGGAACTTGGTCGGCATCTTTGCTGCTGCAACTGGGCGATGTCTTTCCTCCGCCTCCAAGGTAAAGGATACAATGAGTCAATGTCGGCAGGACCTCTTTTCGCAGAAAAGGGGAGTTGTCTTTTTTTTTCCATGCAGGCGCACCTCCTACAAGTTATATACTGCGTAATATGGCTCAGGATCCTTCATGGTGGCATCGCTTGGGTCTTTTTGGAGACAAATTTCTCTGCACGCGTGCTCCTGTGCAATCTCAATGGCGTGGGAAGTGGTGTCTCATTATGGCAACTTTGAGCACATTCTTCTGAATCTGGAGTTTTCTTCGTCTGGATTACTCAATATTTTTTTTCCTGTTCGGATCAGGCCCCTGCGCGACTTCGGTTGCGCAATGGCGTCGCTAATCTTAAACAGGAAGAAAATGATTATCCATCAGGGGGCCGCGAAGCGTGCACAGCGAAGATCCGACGAGGCTCCACTCGCGAGGCGTCGAACCCAGGGGTTTGTGGCTGCGGGGCCGAGACGCAAGCGAAACGGCAGACAGCCGCTTCGGACTCGCGTTGTTTCTTGCCTTGGATCTTTGTTGCATTGCTTCATCGACTTCAAGGTTTTGGCCGTGATCTCGTCGTTATGATCCTCCGACCTCTCTATGTGCGAATACGATATTTGGGTTCGCTTTGAGATCCAACAATGTCGGACATATTCCGACCACTTTTTCGATCTGTGGAAGGTATGTACCCGCATATCGTCCTGAGAATACGGATTGGTCTCCAGGAAACCTAGTTTCTTACTCAGAGTTCTATCTAGACAAGGTCGCGAACAGGCGCGAGCAATTGCGCAAGGCCCAGAAGTCAGTAATCTTGCATCACGCGAATCAAACACCTGCGATCTTGAGATCTTTGCGGCACAGAGGATTAGACTGACCGACTCGGCATCGATTCTTCTCAGGACCTTCCGCGAACGACGAGACCAATATCTTCGCGTCTTGGAGAAGTCCGTCAGACGCCTGCAGGTTACCGAAGCAAGATTGCAGAACGAAGTCAACCACCTCGAGCAGGAGCTCGCTGCAACGAAAAGCAAACTCGCGCAATGCGAGGCCGAGCTGCGCAAGACGACCCAGGCGACGCACTACGACTCCCCCTACTTCGGCAAGAGCGGGTATGCGTCTGGCTCCGGAGAATTCAATCTCGCATCTGAGATGCGCGGCGTAGCAAGGCCGGCCTACCTCTCACCTCCCAATGGCAGTGGTGGGAGTGGAGCTGGGGCATCCAGCAACAGCAACTCCTCCTCTGGGACTCTTGTCTGGATCGAAACGCAAAATGGCCAGCCTGTTCAGATGCATGTCCAGCAGAAGCAAGAATTTGGTTTTCTGCCGGCCAGTAGTGGGAAGAATGTTCACATTAGCGCGCCATTGCCAGCCTCGGCCTCTTCAGGCCAAGGTAGAAACGCGACTGCGATATACGTGGCTCAGCTCGACGCCGTCGTCGTCGCGATGGAATTTGTGCTCAAGTACGTGAGAGTGCTAGGCGCCGTCCTCATCTCCACATGATTCCCACAGATCTCCAAGAACCTAAGTTCAGACTCCTTGCCATAGAGACAAGAAACTAAGAGATGAATCAACATACAGGCTCGAGTCTCCCTGTCTCCCTCACCTTTGCCAAAACGAGGAAGAAGAAAATAACAATTCCACCTCGAACAACTCTCCCCACGGCCACGTCCACACGGCATCAGCGGCGCTGTTGTGCTGTTGTCCATCTCCTGCATCCTCGTCCTCACCATCATCGTCATTATTATCACCGTCGACGTCGATGTCATACACCTATACAAACACATATACCTCACCTCTCTCCCCCGCGACATCCTCATCTTCTCCTTCCTCTTCTTCGTTCTTCTCCTGGCCGGCCCCAAAAGCAACTCTTGAACGCCTCCTCGCCATCTCCGACGACTTACCCATCGACCAAGCCTCGGAATTGACGCCCGTCCAAGTGTGGCACTGTGTTCGACAGGCTCCGGGCTTCGCGGCGTTGCAGGTGCACGGTTTAAACCAACTGGCTGAGAGGTTGGTCGCGCATGTTAAGTGTTACGGGTAAGTCAAGGCATGACAAGATAAACGAGTCCAGTCTGTCCCAATCCGCTTTTCTTCCATTGGGATATCTCATTCCTTTCTCCCTTCCCTTTGACTTGCTTTTTCCCTTCGACCTGCTTTATCCCACCACACATCCCGACCTATCCACCGGAGTCCTAGTCCAACCCTCTCACACCAGCGCTCAGAATATTCCGTTCTTTCATTGTTCACAATCCAATAATCGATGACTAATATATCTCCCATTTGCCTATGTTACTTGCAGATTCGGCGCCGTTGTCAGACGAGACTTCCTCACGAAGCTGTTGTCGGAGGTGTGATCCCGCAACCCGGCCATCTTACTTTGGGACGGAGGAGGCAGGAAGCAGAGGAAAGGAATGGAACGGAACCGAAAAAGGGCGACTGTGGACTATGGCAATGTGGAATTTGGACTGCAAAATCGAGTCTACCTCTTTGAACGTCTTCGCCAGGTAATGGTTAATCTTGATGAGCCGTTTACTCGGCGAGGTTAGGTCAGTCGGTCGTCTGGTCTGTCTGATCTGGTCTCTTTTGGTCTATTCGCACCAATGAGGAAATTTAGGAAATCTCAAAGTTCATTTATCATCATCACCATTATCCATCTTTCTCGTTCCCCCTTCTCTCTACGTTGGCTCTGTGCTGAAGTAAGATCCGACTTGCAAACAAATTCTTGGGCCCGCAAATTCGATAGCTTGATCCGGTTCTACGTTGTAACTCGCACCCCGCGGCTCTCGCGTCTTTGGTACCTGCCTGTTTGCGCCACTGTCATCCCTCCCTTCCTCACTCTCTGTAATGCACAGAGGGCCCAACCTCGCTGCCGACCTTGCACTGTCTGGGTCCAGTCCTCGTACACCGAGCATAGGAGATGTAACAAAGTCAATGATATGTCAGACATCTCTGAGGGTGCGTGCCGATACCATTTTCTATGAGGCGGAGAAGGGCCACGGCGAATTTGGTCCCTCGACTTGGGTTCACCGACGGTTGTGGCGCAGTATCCTCGAGGTGACGATAAAGCGCAGCAGCGCATGCCCTTCTGGCGCAACCTTTTGGGACGTATGGCCGTATTTTCCACACGCGCCCATACACCGCGCCACATCACATAGCATGCGATTCCGCCTCTAGGCAAACACAAGCTCGAGTTGACTCTCCGTTGCCTCGCCCGGCCTGGTCTGGTCTGGAATAGCGAGCTCTCCTCGTCTGTGTCCTCAATTGCCCATGGCAAGGGAACACACAAATGTATATATACCCAATCTCTCCCCTCCGGTTCTTTCTGGGTACATCATGACGTCGACTGTCTCAGCCGCCCTTATCCGAGACGATTCACACACTCGCTCCGCCCAAATCACAGTTGGTGGGTTCTTCTACTTCCCCTGACACTCCTTGTTCCCCTGATCGGTCCAGAACGCCGCGATGTTGAACTCGGAGTAGACGGTATCGATCTTGACACTGTCACGGTCGACATCCACGTCGAAGCTGATTATGCCCTGGACGCGCATCTGCTTGTTTCCTATCCCGCTGGCGTTCCAACGCCAGAAGATCTGGTCGCAGGTGTGAGATGTTGAGAGGGTCTGGACGGTGGGAAGCGCGGGCGTCGCTGCCTGGGAGGCGATAAAGGCCTGCAGGGAGGGGTACACGGGTGTTCCGAGCTAGAAGGGGAGAGAGCTGGGTTTAGTGGAACGATACTCTAAGCTCTCAAAGAAGGAGGGGAAAGGAGCAACAGGAACAAAAAAATTGGGCTAAAAAGGCAAGAGATTTGGGAGGCGGTTTCAAGTCTGCTTACAGCGCGATTTCCCAAGGTGTTAATTGAGTCGCTCCAAACGACGAACTGGTCGGAGAGGACTCTATTGGCAGTCTTGTTGAAGTCTGGCCCGCCGGGGTATTGGAGCAGGTATGTGTAACCCTTGACGAGGTAATCGGCATCGGTGCTTTTCAGGCAGCCTTTGCTCATGCCTTTGTCGCGGTGGCGGTCTTGTTCTTTATCCTGAGCGTGACTGTGATATCGCTGTCCGTAGTTGTCGTCGACATCATGGGTTTTGTTCTTGTGCCAGTCTGACCAGTCTCCTCCTTGGGCGAGAGCGGTGATCACAAGGGTCAAGATGGTGAGGATTGCTGATCGCATGGTATTGGATGGTGATGGATGGTGATGGAAGCTTGGGTCTGTTGTGATGGGTTTCAGAGAGAGTGAGTGCCAGCTGATGATGCTTGAGTTGCTATTGCGGAAACGAAGTCGTATGATTTTGGACTATCGCAATGGATGTTCTTTTCCGTCTGAGTCTGAGTTCGCGGATGAGTTATGTGGACCATTATTTCCAGTCACAAATATCGATGGTGAATGTAATTGAAACCAAGCGGCACTCCTAGTGATAAGTATACCACCGCCCTAAACCAAAGGAACAAAGCAGATGTTCTTCCTACCCAAATATGGCATTCCATTGCAACGACGTGGTGAAAGGAGGAATACTTCCTCGGCGACAAAGAAAACAACGACTGGGGATATCAACGGAAACAAACCACACTTGACATCAATAATTACAACCATTACGACAGTGGCAGAGACGGATTGAATTGGCCATCTTGGAAGAAAAGCAGTCCAGTCCCAACAGTTTTCTCTCGCAATGTAGGCAAGGGGTCAATTTTGGCGGTCGGTGGCGGCGTAAATTGTTTGTTCCCCAGTTGTATTTTCACAGGCGGCCCCATGGACATCCTTTGCCAGCGAGCATACGCCAAGGTGTCTTTCTCATCCTCTCAAAAGGCAGTGTGCTGCGAGGCTGCCTGCGTTTTGCTTGTGGATACCGACTGTAAGGGGAAGAGCACTGATTGGAGTGATACTTTGATGTTGGTATCGATGGAATGGACGGGGGATCCAAGACCAACCTTTTGTGAGGCTTGTTTGAGAGGTCCGCCGATGGGGGAAATGCGTACCAATATCATGGGGGAACATGAGATTGGCGACTTGATCAGGTGAGCCTGGAAAGTTGAGGCTGACGGGGCAAGGCTGACGGGCAAGGCTGTCCGGGCAATTGCCAATGGTAATCCTTGAGCCTTGCAGCGACCCACGAGCCACGAGTCGGCCTTGCTAGGATCTACTTTGTTATTGGACCTACTAGACCTACCACAAATAGAAATATATTAATACGACTTCAAACATTTTCGACTCTTTCGGCACCGTGTCCACACCTGAGCCTATTGCAGTGCTTGTCTCAGCAATTGAACCAAGCCCTCTTTCCCGCACGTCCCAATCCCAGTGCCATCCTACCACGCCGACAGTACCCTCATTGTTCAGACAGTTGAGGTTGCAAAATCCGATCCACAGGTATGTGTATGAGAGAGAGAGAGAGAGAGAGAATGGCGCAGTCTGAATGGTACGACAAGGCAAATAGTACATTATGAGTTCGCCCTGACACTGGCGCAGCCGGCGGCAAGGGTTTTTCGCGCTGGCTCGGAAGCAGCAGCTTGGGAGCTGATCAATGAGTCCAATTTATTATGTTCCAACGTCCGTTGCTCGGATGCCCGTGCATCTCATGTTCTTTGTAATGCTTTCCACCATGCAATGCTCCGTCGTCGGCCCGCTCTATCATTCACGTCGTTGCTCTTGGCCTCGCGCGTTCCATGCAAAAATCGTCCTCAACACTCCATCAAGCGCCGTAAGATAAAACACACATGGTGCTCATTCACACACTGTATCAACGGAAGCCAGTCGTTCACAATAAGCAATGTACGCCACTCCCGCGCCTGAACGATGCAGATTTAACCAAACAAGTCTCCATCTTCACCCCTTAGCCACAGCATCGATCTTCTTCATCATCTCATTGACTTCGTTCAACAGGCCTTTCCTGAACCCGCGTGCTTCCGTTGAGTCCACGTCAATTGCGTCCGCCTTCAAGATAATGTGGGTCATAACGCTCTCGCTCAACTTTCGGTGTTCTTTCTCCCGTTCCTGGGGCGAAGAAGGTGGATTAGATATGAACTTGCGGCAGAGGGGATGCCATTGCTCGTGGAAAATATCTGAAAGAGTCTGCAACTTTCCCAGTGGGGTATTCGGATCTGCTGCAGGCAGCGACGTCGGAACAGGGGTCGAAGACGGGGAGGGGTGAGGGGATGTTCCCCTGGTTCGAGACGGCTCTCGTCGCAGAGGACGGTCATCAGGCTCTGGTCTCAGACTGTTGCGAGACGGTCGTTCCGATGTGGGCCCGGCGGAAAGATGGCCATTGGGATGGAGATAGCTGGATGGGCTCTGCTGCGGCAGATTTTCGTCGCTACGATGTCTGACCGAAGACACGGCGCGGGGGCGGCGTCGAGGGTTTTGCTCAGGGATGTCTTCACCGCTCGACGAATGACTATCTCTATCACTGTAGTCTAGTAAACCCTCGGTCTTGATTGCCGCCACCTCGCTGTTTTGCTTCATGTTATATTTTCGCAGCGGCCAGCCATCATGTTTGAGATCGCGCTTCTTGTACACCAGCCTGACTCTTCTGGGATCCGTCTGCAGGTATCGGGCGACGGCTTCCCTGAGCTGGCCCACATAGGCCGTCTCTTCGCTGATGGAGTATGGAGGGAATTCGACAGGGATCATAGAGGCCATGTAGCGCACAAGGACGACATCTGGGGCATCAGGATCTTCTATCGGGACATTCTCATGTAATCTGGCGACCGAATGACGATGCGGCTCTTGCAACATGCCATGATCGGCATCGATGTACTCGAAGTGATTAGAGAGGTTCCGAGCATAGGGATCGACGACATGGCTGGTGTATGGCGAGCCTCCACTACGACCACCACCGTAGGCGACGTAGCTACCGTAGCTGCTCATGAGATAGCGGACGACGAGGTAGATGAGGGAGAGGAGGAGGGCAGCAAGGGTGGTGTAGGAGGCGGCCGAGTACTCTGTCAGGAGAAGGTTGAGATTGTTGTGGAAGTCAGCAGGCAAATTTCTGAGCACTGGTTGGGCAAGGCTGTGGAGGTTTCGCAGGAGATCAGAGGACCAAGTCTGAAGACTTGAGGAAGCCACGGTGAAGGACTTGGATGGACCGAGTGGAGGGTGAAGGATGTGTGAATTTCCCGATGGATTGATTCTGGTTATCTGGATGGCAAAGGGATAAAAAAAAGCTGCGGCACCAGCGGTGTTCTATGCTTGGAGGAAGCGCAAGGGCAGATCTTTGACGTCGTCACCGAGGAGGCACGAGTGTATGTAATACTGTGGATCGGCAGAGCAAGGGATGGAACAATGAAGGCGAAAACACATGTATTGGGGAGAGCACCAGATGACAAGGCGGCGTGGCAGTTTGGCTAGTTGTTGGATTGGTGGGAGGTGGCCTGTGGCCTGGGCACAGGGAAGAATTGGGAGCTTTCAAAAGGCGCAGTTTGGTCGGTGCGAGCCCGTTAGTCTGATTTAGCTCGGCTGAAGCGGGCAATAGAGGTGATGAAATCGAGGCGGATGACGCAAATGGGGGAGTGTGTGGTTGGTGTTGTGGTGCGTGAAATATATCGCGAAAGGTTCGAGGGACTTGGAAAGGCTCTGTGGGCTGCTATGGTGCTTGGGGCGGTTTGGAAGGTCCACAGAGGGCTTTCTTCGGAGATCTGAAAATTTGATCCCAGGACTGGAAACCCTTCGGGTGCAACAGGGATGTTCTAGGTACCTAAAGAAAGAGAACACCAGATGGCAGAGAGACCAAGTGGGATGATTTTTGCATGCGCAGACAGACAGACGCAGCAGAGTCGGAAAAACCGTTTTGCCGACCCGATGCAACATGTGAGCTGGGCCGAAAGTGGGAACAAGTACTCATTACTTGGGATTCCGCAGTCTGGAACCAATCTGAAACACCTCCTGATGTTTCCAAATGCCTCAGTGGGAAAGGGTTCACTCAGTGTCTTGTTTCTTTCAGCCTCATCAATGCCACGCTTTGGCACCACCACAGCATCGACCTCCCTCATCGAGCCCTGTCAGGAGAACACTCTATACGAGCGCCACAGGCTATTTCTGGTCCCGGCTTCGCCTTCGGCCAATTTACCCCAGACTCGCATCGTTGGATTGTACTCGTACTCGGTATCCAGGCTGCATTCGTGGGGGTACAGGCGTGCTATCCCTCATGGCAATCCAACTTTAACTTGCTTGCAGCTCCGCAACCACCCTTTCGAACGTCGTGTGAGCAAAGGCCCAGATTGAGTCTGGGGCCAACAACATGTCACAACGTGTCCACAACTTCCTTTGGTGCCTTGGACCTTCTTCCTGTCTTGGTGAGCGCAGGCCACACGAAATCACTCAATTTATCTTGTGCGCACCCGTCTTTTGCATTAACAGGCGAGAAGGCCACAACAAACTCGGGGCAGCATGCAGCGCTGGCCTTCGCAGCCGGCCGACGTTGGCCTAATTTCAATACTGTCCCGTCCCTCTTCTAGGTAATGATAGTTGACTTGGCCTCGTAGACCGTTGTGAAAAGCCGCGTGCATCAAAACCAACAAACACAGGACTTAAGGATTTTGGCCCATTTCCTTGGCTGCTCGCGTACTACTTTGTCCGAAATAAGCACTCATTCGTTTAGAAGTGTCTATCACAGAGTCTCCTCGGCAGAAGGAAAATCCGCTCAAAATTCCCATCGTAATAAGAAAGCCCTGTCCATGTGAATAAACTAATTCCTTATCTCTTAGAAGAATAACCGTGACAGCGAGAAATGGACCCAATGCTAATACTGGGTAGAGTGTATTTAGGAATTGTACCAATGGTCTCAGTGATCTCGCCTTAGGAATATCGGATTCTAATTCAGGAATATAAGTCTATTAATGTATTAGCAATGAGCTTTAGAGAAGTGAAAGTGATTACCTCGGAGTGTTCTTCTGCGTTTAGGTTGAGTAAAAGAGACTGTTTTCGATTCGATTTAGATCTTCGTATGATGTACCTCGCAGTACAAGGTGATGTTGTATTGGAATGCATTTTGAGACCGCGATGCTGCTTCTTAGCTTGAATTGATAGTGTCAAGGGAAGAGAAGGAAAAAAAAAATCAAACCACAAACGACGCATGAAGAATAAATTAGCTACTCAAGGTGGTGTCCAAGGAAGCCAGGGTTGGCCAGGATAGACTGCGTGACTTGATGAGGTTGGAAGAAGCCGCAATGCATCCTGGATGGAGGATTTCCCCCCATCCCGTGCCAAGGCGCTAATGGCTGGGGGCAGAGACGCATCCGGAGCCCAGGCACAGCTACTTGATCAAAATCCCGCGTGACTGTTTACCTTAGCTGCAGACCCCAGCTAGAGCCCTGCTAGAGCCCTGCACCTCCCGCGGTGCCTGGCCTGCGGTGCCTCGTTTTGGTGGCACCAGTGGGTTTTTGGTGGCTGGCGATGCGAGTCCCGGTATTTCCGCAAAAGGTGCAGCTAACTACGAGATACCCAGGCGAGCAGGCCTGCTCTCTGCACAACCCACTCTCCCACCACGCTCCCACCACGCTCGAGCTGACTTCCCCCACGTCCCCTTTGTTAAAGAAACCCGGAACCTGTCTTTTCCCCCCCCCCCAAAGAGAGATATAAGCGTCTCCTCCGCCGTTCCCAAGGCCAATACCTCCCTGACTACTGTCGGCTATTGCCCGTCAGTTATAGGCTATTCCTCGAGAAGGTCAGGAACTCAGTCCACCTCTTGCGGAGAACTCGAGCTAAGACGCGGGCTGATGGATATATGCACGTCTCGAATGAGGACGATACGAGAAATCCAGAGTGTCCAAGTGACCTCACGCATATTCTGAGGCTGCCCTGCGTCACTGGGCATCAGTCAATCCTTCCGGGAGACAAATGAGGGTCCACACTCAGGTCCTGCTACATCAGATCATGTTGCCTCGTCATTCCTCTTGCTCTTCTCCCAATGGACCGCGCTTTCTTTCCTCCTGCTACTGTGTGAGACTGGCCATCCGTTGGCCTTTTAGTTTGGCGGTAGGTCTTCCGATACGTGCTATGTGCCCGACCTCAAGGTGCAACTTCCTCCTCTTTCGAGACCACACATGCATTGTAACGGCTCAGCCAGGAAATCTGAGCCCGTCGGCGTTCAACTGGCCCTCGAGTCGACCACAATCACACCGCCCACTACATCTCACTCCCTTCATCATAAAAACCTCGAGCCAAGTATCAATACCCAGTATTTTCTTCCTCGCTTTTCTCTGAAGTCTCCTGTCTTGCCTGATATTCCCGCCATGGATCTCTATAACCTTCCCAACGTCACCGAACCTCATCCTCCTGCTGCTCTTGCCCTCCAGGGGGTGAGTCCAGTCCTCTCTTACCTCGCGGTCGCTTTCTCTGTGGCCAGTTTCATCTGGTGGTGCATCCAAGACTATCGCTTCTTCAAATCATTAGGACCCGGGGGACCCTCTTACGACATCTTCGGCTGGTTCAAAGTTCACATCCTCGTTAGACCTTTCACCCTCGCTGCTCGGGATACCACATGGACTGGAGACTATCCGGATCACGGGGCTCACAAGGACATTATGGCGCTGCCAGATCGAAAGGGTCGGCGGCCCGTTATCTTGGGCATCGCTCCCCAAAGACAGTTCAGTCAGTGTCCAGAGAGAGAAATGAACGCGGTAAGTGAGCCTTGGATACCTAGGATCCATCCACGCCAGGCTGCCGCTCCATTAGTCAACCGTCATGGCTTTGAAACTAACCTTTGAACAGCACATACTTGCTTTGTTCTCATCCTTTGTTCTCAGCAACCCTAACCTGTTGCAACAACGAATCTCAGTTGTTGAGAAACACAACTACGCACTCTTCGTCCATCCCAGCATACTAGCCGAACCGGCCAACATTCCCGAGATTGCCACGGTCGCCAACGGTGAACTGGGGCATATCCATGGTGATAGCTCTCTGCACCTTTACTTCTCACCAGCGGATGCTAAAGTCCTCGTCGAACGAGGCTGGGCCCAACGACATCGATGTGCTAGGACTCAGCCGTGGTGGTTTGGTGGGCTGAAGAACATGTGGGGGATTGGAGACACCTTTCTCATTGTGTACGCTCCAAGGAACTCTGAAGAGCTTGAAGTGTTGGGATTGTTGATCAAGGCAAGCATCATGTTTATGACAGGTGATCGGGATGTCGTCAAGCCGTAAGAAGGCCAAACGAATATGACCCCTGCGGTTGGGGCAAGTTCTAGTCTTCCTCTATCCATGACACGACGGTGTCGGAGTCGTGGCATGAGGCGCAACGGGTCTGTGAAGAGGGAATGGAGCGGATGCAGGGATGGGCTGAGGATGTTGCGGTGGTGGTTAGAAGGGCAAAGGAGTGTTGGATCAAAATAGCTTATTGTTTCCCATACAAAATCGCAAGCCTGACCGATCTCGGCTTTGTTACCGCCATGAGAAATAAGGGTGTAAAAGCGGCATTGCCGGTTCTAACCGTCGAGCCATTCAATCGAATACGATATGTCAACCCGCCGCAACCCAGTCACCACCATTCTCATCTGCATTGCTCTCGACCATGGCCGCTACCCTCCCTCGCTACCGTTGCCTGAACGGCCATCCGTGGTCCTCTCCATTTAAAGTCTTTCTTCCTCCTACCTCGACACCAGCATCGACGTCGACCGCATCACGAACATTCGCCACCACGACTGATGACCTCCCAACCAGTAAACGCCGAGTACGTGCGACCACCTTCGCCGACAAGCTCAATGCCGGTCCATCCTTCTCTGACTTTGTCTCTGGAAACGAACCGCTCTTGGAGCCCTCGGAAGCATATGCCTTGAAAACCGCCCTCGTCGGACCCAAGGGCAAGCAGAAACAGATCACCCGCCTGCCTTCGTGGCTGAAAACACCGATCCCGGACAGCTCCTCCTACAAGAAGATTAAAAATGACTTACGCGGCTTGAATCTGCACACTGTGTGCGAGGAGGCTCGATGCCCAAACATCTCGGACTGCTGGGGAGGGAGCAGCAAGTCGGCGGCCACGGCCACGATCATGTTAATGGGCGATACGTGCACCAGGGGTTGTCGCTTCTGCAGCGTCAAGACCTCAAAGACACCTCCGCCGTTGGATCCCCATGAGCCGGAACACACCGCTGAAGCGCTTTCGCGCTGGGGTCTAGGCTACGTTGTCCTGACCAGCGTTGATCGGGACGACCTGGCGGACGGAGGAGCCCACCATTTCGCAGAGACGGTGCGCAAGATAAAATCCAAAGCGCCGACCATCCTGGTCGAGTGTCTGACCGGCGACTACGCGGGGGATCTGGAAATGGTCAAAGTCGTCGCGACATCGGGACTGGACGTCTACGCACACAACATTGAGACGGTCGAGGCACTGACGCCGCAGGTGCGCGACCGACGCGCCACGTTCCGACAATCCCTCAGTGTGCTGCAGGCCGCCAAAGCCGCACAGCCAGGCCTCATCACCAAGACATCGATAATGCTGGGCCTCGGCGAGAGGGAGGACCAAATCTGGGATGCGCTGAGAGAGCTGCGCGACATCGACGTCGACGTGGTCACGTTTGGCCAGTACATGCGCCCCACGAAGAGACACATGGCCGTGCACGAGTACGTGACGCCGGACGTCTTTGAGCAGTGGCGCGTCCGGGCGCTGGAGATGGGCTTTTTATACGTGGCAAGCGGCCCGTTGGTGCGCAGCAGTTATAAAGCCGGGGAAGCGTTTATCGAGAATGTGCTGAAGAAGAGGCGAGCCGGCCGAGGGGAGACGGCGAATGCGGATTTGGCGGGGGATATAACTGATGGAAAGGGTGTGCAGGTTGGGAAGATTTGATTTTGCAGTGTCGGCTGATTAGGATATTATCCCTTTGGTTTGTACGTACCCATGGTATAAACAAGATACAAGGCACATCGAGGTCTTTGTCAACCATCGACCTCACGACTAAACATGTCTCGCAGAGACACGACCATCTGAAGTAATGGAGAATCTTGGGGGTGTTATCTCTTATGCCTTTCCGATATGGCTTGAGACTTTGTGGTGATACTTTCTGCGCCACTTCGCTGGCAGGCAAACCCCTCCCAATGTATGAAATGCAGCAAATATAGTACCTAGTAGTTTTGCATTGCCCTTCTTGACAACGCCCATGCCATGCAATGCCACGCAATGTCCACATGACCGTGCCTGTCGCCCCTCAGACTTGCATTGAAATGCTTGCTCCTGGCCGGCAGTGTTGTTGGGGGGGGGGGGGGGGTTCACCAGCGAGGCTGGATGATGCCTCCAGTCTGCACCATCCCATGAAGATGTCTCGTCGTCTGTTCCCTTTAAACTTCTTCCCCTGGTAGGATTCATGCCCGGAAAATCGACCTCTATCTGCGTATTGGCGCAGTGCAATGGCCTATCCAGCATATCGGCCCCGGACGATATACATGGACCTTTCTCCTTCAGTCGCTCGTAGGCTCGGTCTCCCTCTTCCTCCTCGGTTGCTGAGATTCACGCACAGCCTGCAAGGCGCGCGACGACCGTCGCAGAGCCCTACCTTGACAGCAATTTCATCCACAGCTTCCACACTCGGGCGCGCGGACGTCATCAATGCCGCCCATCCTCCTCAACCCACCACTGCCGCTCCCACTCCCACCACCACCACCGCCTCTTCCCCAACTACTCCCTGGTCCACCTCCTCCAGCACCGGCTCCGCCGCCAAGACGAGTGCTGGCCCCTCCCCAGCGCGGGCGCTCCTGATACGCATTTGGCCGCCCGCGGGTGTTGAACTGGCTGTTCTGCGCCGCGGTGTAGGGGTCGAGGGAGAAGAGGGAGACGAAGTACAGACCGAGGAAGTTGTAGACGTCGTCGGAGAGGCGCGAGAGGCGCGCCGAGAGAGGGGGTCTATGTCAATAAAACGCCCCATGGCATACAACGGTTAGCTTTTTCATTGTAAAACCAAGCCTGTCAGTTGAATAGAGACGAGGGGGCCGGAAATAGGTGGGTAACGGGCAGGGAGGGCAACGGAGTCGAGAATCAAACACGTACGTCTCGAGGACGTGGCCTGAGGAGGAAATGTAGTTCGCTGTTCCGCGCGACGACGACTTCTTGTTGTTCGACGAGGGTTGAAATGAGGGTGGCTTGTCCATGTTCGCTGAGGGTGAGGGCTGTTTTCTTTTCCTCTTCTTTGTCTTCTTTGAGAATCCCAGCACGGGGAATACTAATACGCAAGAATGGGGTAGGGTCTGCACTTGCGAATCAGCAGAGTTGATGGAGTGATTTTGACACGGTGGTGTGAAGTCGCAAGGAGAACAATGAGCGAGGAAGACAGACAGGCGCAGGGAGAGCCTCCTGCGAGCGAGGCTGGCCACAAGTCGAGAGCTCTACCCGCTCGGCATAAAGTGGCTCCGAGTTTCAGGCAGGTGGGCTTCTGTACAAACCCGTTCGAGTCATGGAAATTATGCTGAACTTTTGGCTATTTGACTGAGTATTACACTTTTCACCCTTTTGAACGCCGTTTGCGATTGCGTATCACGCCGCCGGAGACACGCCGCAGGAGACTCGCCGTCACACGACACGAACAGGTACAGGACTAAGTGCTGCGCCGAGTTCGACGAGGATGGTGTTGACATATCACAATCCCAACCGCTCACTCGCCATCTTCGCCCCTTTGACTCGATTGGCGATCTTCTGGAACGCGACGTCCCGCGCAAAGTCCGGGTTGCCTTTGTGCTTGGGCTTGACGTCGATGCTGAATGGGCTGAAGCCGCAGTCGTCTGTCGCGCCCAGCTGATCCGCAGGGATGTACTTGGCTGCCTCGACGAGCGCCTCGCAGACGTGCTCGGGCGACTCGACCGCCGGATTGAGCGGGTTGACCACGCCGACGAAGGCGACCGGCTTCACGCCCTTGGCATCCTTGCGGATCGTGCGCCCGATCTCCTCGTACACTTTTGCCTTGTTCTTCTCCGAAGCCAGCTGGATCAGGAAGTAGCCCGCGTTCATCTGGAACAAGGACGGCAGGAGTTCGTGGTAGTCGACGTCGGCAGAGTGGACCGAGTCGCAATCTCCGCCGGGGCAGGTATGGATGCCGATGTTCTTGCGCTCTTCTGGTGTGAATCGGTCTACATATTGTCGCAGAGGGGTTTCCTGTCAACACTTTGTGCTATCCATTCAAAGGGAGGACAAGACTCGCTCTATGCCCAAAAAGTTGCTTCTCTTGCGGGACGTCTCAGAGACTTACCGAGGACCTGGTTGTTCAAGTCAATAAACTTTTGCAACAAGTGTGCCCCAGTCCATGGATTTCTCTTATCATTCTTCGCTGCGAGTCTTCCCTCGGTGAAGTCAATGGACACACGCTTGGCCCCGGCGGCGAAACAGCCGCGGATGTCCTTCTCGCATTCGTGAACAAGGTCCTTTTCGAATTCTTCTTTGGGATATCCCTCGACGGTGCCGTTCAATGGGTACAGCAGGTACATCATAGACGGCGCAATGACGGCTTGTTTCATGGGGTGCCCGCCCGCCAGCGGCATCGACCTCTTCAAGTTGTCGTAGGCGTAGGTCTTGTATTGGAAGGGCCCCTTCACGAGGCGGGGCAGTTGCCGGTGATGCCCATCCTCGAAGATGGCAAAGTATTGACCGTCAGCAGCGAGATTCTCCGACAGACCTGTGCCCCCGAGAGTATCGGTGATGGGATACGTGGCAAACGAACTCGCCCGTTGCTCACCATCTGTGATCAACGGCTCACCTGTGTGGGCGAGGTGTTTCAACGAATCCTCGACCGCTCTGTCCTGGGCCTCTACAAGCTGTTCGTGAGATATCTTGAGGGCGTCGTAGTCTGCAAACGCCTTTTGGAGGTATGTTGGTCGAGGGAGACTCCCGACGAGTTCTGTGGGGATAGGCATTGCGGATGAGTCGATACCTCTTGATCGAAGAGGTAAGAGGTCAGAGAAAGAAAAGAGGAGGTCCAACAAGGATTTACCATGTGCTGTCAGCACCGGGCAACCCTACAGGATATAGGTTCCCATGTTTTCCTTTTCCCCGCCCTTAAACTCTCACAAGCCTGGATGACGCCGCGACTGCGTTCGATGCTCGTCCTTTGAAGTCTTATTGGAGGAAGAAACACCAGCTGCCAGAAGAACTCGTCTTGATCAAGTTTTGATCAGCCTTGGCTTCGAGGTGTCATGGGGATTTTGCACCCGATCACCTGTCTGAAGTTCATCGATGTTTGAAGGAAATGGATCATGAAGAATCCCCAGTGGGTGCAGCCTTGTTCTGTGTCTTATCACCTAAGTGACCAATCCTTTATTGCCCGCGAGGTTCGTATTAACCAGCTCGGCAGATCTTACCTAAGTAGCTAATAACGTACACATAACAATATCTTGAGTTAGTAGCTCTCGCATCCAGAAGATCCATTCCACACTGTCTAGGATAGAGACCTCTCCGAAGCTACACCCGCCTAGCTCTCAGCCTTGCTCGTGGTGGTGGCTGTGGCTACTTGGTAAGAAAAGTTGTACGCCTTTTCAGCCTGATATCCTCTGCTCCAAAGTGAGCTCATTGGATTTGTTGTACAGAACATAATAAACACTCTTTCCCCCATGCAATTGCATTCCATTTCCTCAGCAGAAATGCTGTTCAGCTCACGCTATTTCCCTTTTCCATATAGCTATCAGAGAGCCAGCCCATGAATGCCGTAACCATTAACACGCGATTGACCTTTGTCCGTAAATTTGTTGCTTTCCCCCCAGCAGAAGAGTTGACATCCAGACAGACTACTGCGCCACAGCGCCCTCACCGCGGATCCTCTTCCCCTGGCCACTGCCATCTGTTACCTCACCGTCCTCTCGAGCTCTCTTGTTACCACCACCAGGAGTAAATTGAGCAGCTTGAGGATTCAACGAACCGCGGCTCGGACTGTTTGCACCTCCCCCCCTGCCTGCCTGTTGACTAACGCCGGTGTGTACATTCGGGCCGCCTCCGCGTCCGCCTCTGGGTGCTCCACGCCCTCTAGGGATGCCGCTTCCGCGGCCACGGTTCGATCCACCGCGCGGGATTCCGGATTGGAGTTGATGCATCAAGGCCGCTCCAGGTTGGGACTGCTTCGCAGCTTCAGGGTGGGTGGGTTGAGTGGACTGTGAAGGTTGAGCAGGTTGAGCCGGACTCGGCTGAGGAGCAGGTTGCTGGAATGGATTCGGCCTAGGTTGCTGCGAAGCAGATTCGACAGCCGCTGGTTGCTCGGGAGCCGCAGAGTGAAGCTGAGTAGTTTCGTCGGCTTTGACATGGATTTCTGGTTTCGCCGTGGTTTGTGAAGGTGGAGCGGCAGGAGTAGGAGCAGCCGGCTTCGGTGCTGTTGCAGCAGCTGGTGCAGTGGGTTTCGCGTCTTTAGCAATTTGCCACACCTCTCCAACCGCCTTCTCAGGAGTCTCCTCTGCTGCCTTTTTCACCACGTCTAGTTTTGCGTTTGCCATCGCAGCTCTATTCTGAGACATATTAAGTTTGACAGCGCCTCGCTTCTCCGCCAGCTGCTCGGCATTCTTAACTTGTTCTTCGATTTTCCTTGCCGACTCTTCGTCGAAGTGGAGTCTCTGCGTTCTGAGCTCCTCTTCGTGCTTACTGGCCATTGCTTGCTTTTCCCGAGTAAGATTTTCTTCGTATTGTTTAATCAACACTTCTTTCTCGGTCTCGAACTCGGCCTCTTTTTGTCTGATGATTGCTTCTTTTTCTGACTTAAGTCGCTCCTCCAATTGTTCGGCCAGTCCCGCAGAAGCTCCTTCACTCTGAGAGCCTTGTGATTCAGCCATTTCTTTCCGAAGATTCTCCTTTTCTTTCTCCAACCCTTTGCTGATATTGGCTCTGACGATCCGTCGTACAGTTTCATTTTTGTTCACGAGGAATTTTGCCTTGTCCTCGGGCAGGGACAACAATACGTCATCAGGAATCTCTCCGTTGGTCACAGCAGCAACAGCGCCAGTCGTATCTTCCGCAGGCTTCTGGAGCTCGCTTGCAACAGGCACTGACTTGGCTTTCAGCGCCTCCATTTCTTGCTGATGTTGGGCGTTGAGCTTGACTGTCAACTCTTCAAGGGCAGCCACTTTTGCTTGCTGCGCTTGCTGCTTAAACTCAGCTAGCCGTTTGTTGAGGATTGCCTCATTTGCGGCCACTCTTGACTTAAACCGCTCTTCCTGCCCAGATTTCAACTCGTCGAGCTCCTTGACCTTCTCCGCCAGTGTCTCTTCTAGTCCTTTCACCTTGGCTGCCAGTTCGGCGGTGTCGGTGCCGGATGTACCGTTAGTGTTTGAAGGTTCAGCAGTTACTGAATGTTCCCCATTGACCTGAGCCGATGTTGCTGGAGGAGGATGTGCTTCCGCGGCCGCCAGTTGTTCCTTGAGCGAATCAAGCTCTGCGCGCAAAGCATCTCGTTCAGCCACAACTGCGTCAAACTCAACCTTCCTCTCACGTAGAGTATTGTTCTTCTCTTTAATGACTCCCTTGAACTGCGTCTCCAGTCTTGTCTTCAACTCGCCCTTGGCAGTATCAACTGCTGCCTGTGTGCTCTCGACCTGTGCTTGAAGAGCTGTACGAGCCTCGTCGCGCTCGGCAATAGCCTTGTCGAGCTCTACGCGGAGGTCATCGCGTTCTCGCTCAAGGGTGGTCATCTTCTCCTTGAGAGCCTCCATTTCCGCAGGGTCGACTCGGTCATACTTCGAGAGAATGTTCTGAGTACGCTGTTGCCAGTGGTCTCGGTCTTCTTGGCTCAGTTTTAACTCTCCTTCTTTCAACTCCAACAAATTCTCCAGTTCCGCAACACGAGCCTGTAAGGTCTGTACTTCGCCTTCCAGTTGCTCCACACGTCGGGTCTTCTCCGCTAAAGCTTGGGTCGCTTGCTTAGCTTCTGCTCGTAGGGTAACGCTGCTCTCACGGAACAGATTCAACTCATTAAGAGTTTCGATGAGCTTGTTGTGGCTGAGGGCATTACGTTCTGCGTCGGCCTCGGAACGGCGCTGCTGGTCGAGCTTCAATCGCGTCTCGTCTAGTTGCGACTGGGCAAACTCCAGCTGTTGCCTCAATCGCTTTGCCTCTTGAACCGAGAGTTGATATTGAACATCCACGATATCCTTCTCCCGACGGAGGTAGGTAATTACCTCCTGCAGCT